ACGAGATCCTAGCGTACGACGGTAACTTGAAAAACATGAAACTTCAACCTGGTGGAAGATACGAGGTCTTTCCCGACCCACCAGGACTCATCGAGTTCATTAACCACGTTCGGGACAACGAGCGCGCCCTCACGACCACACACCTCATCCTATGGATCAAGGCCAACCAGCTCGAGTAGTTGACTAACTACCTCGCCACCAAGCAGCAGCGGACGTCGTACGATTCTCTCCTCCGCCTACTGCAGCGATTCTGTGATCGCCACGGCTTCTCCCGCCAGCGTCCTAGCAAGAACAAGGTCAAGCAAGCTGATCTTGCTGATGTGCAGAGCGAATTTGCCGCGGAGTTCCACCGTGAGTACATTGCCTATGGCAAGGACTGCGTCTACAACGTTGACGAAACGGGCATCTATTACGACATGCCTCCGATCTACATTTGGGCCGTGAGAGGCGGAAGCTCGAAAACTTCCAGCGGTGAGAAGCATTCGCTTCGCATGACCGCGGTCCTCGCGGTGCGAGCTGCCGGTACGAAACTGCACATCCTCTTCATCATGAAGGGGGTGCCCGGCGGTCGCATCGAAAGCGGCGAGCTGGCCACGTTTCCATCCGGCCATCACTATGCTGTTCAGGAGCGTGCCTGGATGGACAACCGAGTCTGGGCCACGTACCTTCGGGATGTACTTGGAGAAGCGATCGAGGAGCCGTCAGTCGTATTGCTGGACAACTTCGAGTCACATGTGTCGGGTGAGTCATACAACATCATGTACGAAGAGCTTGGGGCTCACCTGTATGCGTTGCCGTCGAATGCGACGTCCGTGTGTCAACCCTTGGATGTCGGAGTGATGGCGCCGTTTAAACGCAACCTCCGCAACTTGTGGCTGCTCGAAGACCTCATCGTTGGCGATGATGATGATCCATTTTCACTTACCGCGCGTGAAAAGCGCATGGCATTGGTGAAGCGGTCGATTGCAGCGTGGGACCTCGTGTCGAGCCAAGAGATCCGCCGCAGTTTTGAGAAAGCTCTCCCTCAGGCCCAATAATTTCAGCGTTAAAAAAAATTCCCACTTAAATTAATTTAGTTATCTTCCTTTTTGTATTGGATTACGATTAATGTGAAAATTATTGGAAAAAGTTTGACACTGCCCGGGAATTGAACCAGGGCCCCTTCCTCTATCGTTTTGATGCCGTCGCCCTTAACCATTGAGCTACCGCGTCAAACGCTTACGCTTAGTCTGGAATCATCTACCCGTTCATATATTTCACTGTGGGACACCTTTGTAAACCGATTACCTTGTTCTTTACATCCCATGTTGTTGGTGTTTGGAGCCATTGCGATGTGAATCACACTACACAATTTAATTACCTGTAATAAAATGAATTGACCTCAGGTAGTGTGAATAAAAATTTCAGTATTGCACACTGATTGGCTCAAAACGAAACGTACATCGAAGTTAGCAATCCAATCAAATGATACAATTCACGTAGGATTCGAAGACAAAGTAGGCGTTGCATTCCGTCGTTCCCTGCCGCCAAGTTTTCACTTGTTGTGATTGTGAGCTCATGGCCATGGAGTCCAGCATGCCGAAAAGTCGCAAGCGTAACCCACGGCATGGGTAGATAGATAGATATACAGTACCACCTCGGATGCTGGGTGAAATATATTGACGAAAAATGAAATTAAACGATAGTTGGTTGAGTTATACTGCTGGCTTGGTGAAATATAAACTTGAAGTATGAGGTCTCCACGAAATTAAATGGAGATAACAAATATATCGGTGGTATTAGAATAAATAACAAATAACTAAAAAGTTATAGCAGAAGTTAAAGCTAGTGAAATATACTGCAAGCTAAGCGAAATATAGTGAAAAATGGCTGAAATTAACCGCAAAAAGGTGTAGTCGTTCTCCACGTTGATTCGTACTTCCTCTGTTATGTATCAATTGCAAGCGGGAACAGTTGGTATACTTCTAGGCCTCTGATTGGCAAAAAAATTAGTGGATTGGGACCACTGGGTTCCGTTCTTGACGTTCGTATTTTTGCTTGAATTATATATTCAATTTCGACGTTTTATCGACATACGAAAATTCACTACAAAAACCAAGGCAAATTTGACGTTTTTCAAGCTTTCTGATGTGAAATTTGACA